CGCGATCACGACGGAAGGACTGTGATCAGGAGTCGAGGACATCATTCGTCATCGTCAGCAGCGGTGCGATGTGGCCCGTCCAAGTGCGCACTTTGACTCACTCTCGAATATCGACTATCGCGATTGTCGACCGACCCAGTTGCTTGCTGGTAGGATGGAGGTCGCTCAGAGCGCTCATCGCGCAGTCGCTGAATCTCGATCGCGTGCAGAGTCTGCATCTCGGCGAAGGCGTCGGCGTGTTGCTGATCGCGACGAGCAAGTGCTTGGGCGACTGCTTGACGGACAGCCTCGTCCTTGGTCTTCTCGGCCTCGCTGATCACGTCCGCCAGCACCTGAGCGTTGTGCCAATTACGCACCTCCCTCATGCGCTGGTGCCCGCGCGCCAGCTCGGCCAATTGTTCCTCCAGACGCTCGATGCGACGACTCGACGCGAGGGCAGCGGTAGCTTTCTCTGTCTTGAGCGCCTCGATCTCGGCAGCTTGTCGCCGGATGATGTCGTCATTGATTTCGGCAGAGACGACGGCCTGATCGGTGGCTTGATGTGGCCTAATGAAGCTCATGCGAACGCTGTTGCCAGGAAAGTCTGGATGGTCCGACGAAAGTCCAAGCCAGGAACGGTCGCTTCTGGAGCTCTGATCCACTGAACGTCCAGCCGATCTTGGACGGTGCGTGCGAAGGGGGGTCGAGGAGCGAGGTCCTGCCGAAAGAGGCTCCGAATTGTCTGGGGAGAGTGAAGCGCAAATTACAAGGCGGTAAGTCATGCGAAAGTGTCTTGGCGCTGACTTCTGTAGGTGTGTCAGTCTCAGTCTCGCCGCATAACTCACTAGCGCTGTTGGCGGAAGTGGCGCGAGCTCCCTGCTCCTTTGCGTATCGACGAGCTTGGGCAAGGGGAAAGTCCGGGTGATCGGTGGACATGCCGAAGAACGAATGACCTTGAACGCCAGTGTCGTGATCCCTCCTGTCGCTAGGGCTGGTGGTGTCCCACTCAATGGAATAGTCGCTGCTCAAGCTTTCGTCCTCGTTGTCGTCTCTCGCCGTGACAAAATGTTCGTCGGAAGTAAGCGAGTGAGTCACTTGGCGCAGTGGTGAGGGTGCAAGTACGGACGCTTGGCGAGCAAGATGAGCAGAGCCTACGTGGGCCTGACGAGTACGTGGAGGCGTAACTGAAGGCATGTTGGGCTTGCAATGGGTGAGGGAGAGGGGCACAATAGCGTGTATGTCTAAAGAAGTAAGTAGCTAAGGACGCGAGCACGGGGCGGTGAATGGGTAAGGAGGGATGCGATCTGCACAGAAGAGCTGAGGTAAGATGCGGCGAGGGACAGGAAAGGCGAGTGAGGGGATGAGAGAGAGGAGCGAAAAGTTGTGCGTCCGGGGGAGGCTACTTGTACCTTCATACGAGACCGCTTTCTCTCGCATGTGTGCCTACCTGTGTTGTGTTCTCGAGCGAGCCAAGGAATGTGGGGCGGTGGAGCGTTGTCGGCAGGTGAG